AAAATAAAAAAAAATAAAAAAAAAAAAGTTATATCATCAAGAAGGCTTTCCCTAACCACACAAGGCTAGGTCAGATCACTCTATTTTATTATTAATTTCCACCTTAACCTGTACTTTTTCTTTTGTAATCTAACTTAAACTTGTAATTTATTTTCCAATATCTGTTTTGCTCTATAAATTCCATTAGGTAGGAGCCACCATGTGCTATCGTATTAATCAATATATAGCCACCAGTGCCTAGAATACAGAAAGCATTCAATAAATACTTTTTTGAATAAATAATTGGTAAATAAGAAAGAAAGGGTGAGGGATAAAAAGGCAGAAAAGGGAAAGAACAAAAGCTACATGTAAGAAAAATTAGGGTATTATATTAATCCTTTCCTATTTAGTTTTGCAAACACTACCGTTTCCTGTTAAAGAAGAATGTAACAGGCTCTAAACTGCATTTTAATAAAAATATAGGAAAAAAATATTTTTTTAAGTTTCAGAATTCTAATTTAAGCTCTATACTTTCTGAGTCAATTTAAGTAAATGAAATCCTGCAGAACTTTAGAACTGAAATATTTCCAAATTAGCAGTTCAAGTAACAAAAGGAATTCTTCATGAATACAAAGCACATGCCAAAGAGATTTTATAAATGAGTTATAAAATTAGAATAAACTTTATAAATAAAGTAGGAAACTGAAAAACTCTTCATGGAATAAAATCTTGTTCTTTAGTAATCATTAAACTGTCTTTGAAGGCTCTGTTAAAACAACTTTGAGGCATTTGTACTTTGAAGGTCTAGATAATTCTTATGGAACACAGCAGATAATCTTTTAAAGTCCTTTTATACTAACAGGTCATCTAGGGTAACAATATTGAAATAAATGCTATATTTTAGAAGACACATAACATTCAGATCTGTTAGGCAAATGGGTCTTAGAATTAACTTTCCTATTCTCTTTATACACGAAAGTAAATAAATTGATGACTCCAGGATATTCCGCATTTTAAGCAACATAAATGAGAGACGTTGTAAACCACAATTGCTTCTCTCTGTTTCACAATAAATATGGTTCTAAAATTTGTGACCTGAACTTAAAGCTGGTGCTGAAAGCCACAACGGTAACAAACTAGATGCAGACAGAAGCTGATCGATTAAATGGCGGTGGTCAGGAAGCCACACCAGCAGAATCACCTCCATCCTTAGCTGCTTACAGAGAGGACATCGTCCCTTGCTACAATATATCCGCCAGTGGCTACACTGGACACAAAGAAGCAGCATCTATTTCTCTTCTTTTCCTAAAGGCCCACTTTTTCTAATAAAGGATTGACAGCAAATGATGTAGGAGAGAGAACTGAATGCAAAAAGAAACTTGAAAATTTTACTCTAGCCAATTTCAGCCTTTTTTTTTTTTAATTCAAAGCTTTTTCTGCCACACAATAAGAACACTATCACTAGGTCAAAAGAAGAATAAAACAATCTGCATGCCTTGCTTGATATTTGAACTATTTTGCCTTCGAAAGTATATATTTTCAAAGTACACTGTACCTTAAACTTTGTAGATCATGACTCACAGTGAGAAATCTATTTTACAAGAGAACCCAGTACACACACAATACATACACAATTTAAAACAAAAAAAGTTCATGAAAGTTACCCTTATTACATTAAACAAATATGTTAGGTTGCTATTTTATGTCTTCTTTTTTCATGCTGGCTACATACCATAAACTAATTTCATGGCCTAGTAATGTGCCACCACCTATACTGTGAGAAACACTGCTCTATATACACATGTGGTCTGGTCTCTGCTTACCTTTCTAACTGCATCTCATGCTATTCTTCTTCACCACATACCCCTAACTGCAGCTCCCCCCACCAAACCACCCTACTACCCAGTTTCTATTTTTTTTATTATTATATTGAACCAGAAGTTCCCCAAATATGCCAAGCTCTTTTCTGCCTCAGAGCCTTTGACCTTGTTAGTGCTGCCTGGGGCACTTCCTCCAGATCACTGCACTTTGTATCATTCAGGTTTTAATACTAAGGTTCCTTCCTCAGGGGGGCCTTCGTTGGCCACCTAATTTAAAAGAGCCACCACCTGCAACAATTCCAGCCACAGAGGCAGCAGGCAGCAGTTCACTGCCCTTAGTATTTCTGGGGAAGTCTGAATAACAAAATGTTAGGCAGGTGCGCGCACGTGTGTGCGCGCACGTGTGTGCGCGCACGTGTGTGCGCGCACGTGTGTGCGCGCACGTGTGTGCGCGCACGTGTGTGCGCGCACGTGCGTGTACATACATGCATGCACAGAACACGCACATCAGTATTTAGCAAATATCACTTTCTAGCTCCCTATGCCACTGCATAGGTCACTGAACTCTACTGAAATTCTATTGCATTTGCTTCATGACAGCTTTTCTGACTCTCTGAGAATTGAGGACTCAATCCTCCAATGTCCCCAAGTACTTTGTATTCTCTAAGACCATTTACCACATTCTTATTTGGTTTTCATTCAGCAAACAATGATCTAAGCAATAGCAGTGAACAAAATAAACATCCATTCCTCTAACAGTTCACAGTTTACCATCAGCGACAAATTTATAAACAATTTCAACTGAATGTAGCAAGTATAGTAAGAGAGATGTGTATATAAAATGGTGACAAAAAAGAATAAAGAATCAACCCTAGTGGGGAACGAAGGCATCATAGAAGAAAAGACATCTAAGATGGGTCGGGGAAGGATCGATAAGAGTTTGGGTAGAAAGCAAAGGGGTATTCCATGTACAAGGAACAGCACGTGCAAAGTAGAGAGAAGAGACATACTACTTGTTTGGAATTTTTCATATATTCAATGAGAGGCAAGTAGCTAAACGGCAAGAGGATAAAAGGAGTCTAGGAAAGAGAAAGGCAAGAGGGAAGCTAGATTATAAGTGCTTCAGGGGTCCTCAAACTTTTTAAACAGGGGGCCAGTTCACTGTCCCTCAGACTGTTGGAGGGCCAGACTATAGTTTAAAAAAAAAACTATGAACAAATTCCTATGCATACTGCACATATCTTATTTTGAAGTAAAAAAACAAATGGGCAAAAAACACTCACATGTGGCTCTTGGACCGTAGTTTGAGGACACCTGTGCTAGATCATGGGGGGTCTTGTATGCCGTTCTAGACACTTTACTGTAGGAAATGGAGAGTCTAGAATTTTAAAGAGGCAATTAACATCAACAAATTAGGTTTTTCAAAATTTCTTCTTGTGGCAGAGAAAATAATGAATGGAAGAATTGCCAGACCAGATTATAAAAGACACTATTACAACAGTCAAGGCAAGTAATGAGGAGATACTAAACTACAATAGGATCTAGTGACCAATTGAATATGGGAGATGTTGGGGGAGGAATGTAGGATAATTTTCATCTCTAGTTAGGTTAGTGGTACCATTACCTAACTTGATGAAAATAGGAGAAACCAGGAAGAAAGATAGCAAGTTCAGTTTTGGTCATACTGAGTTCACGGGGCCTTTCAGGTATCCCGGTATAAATGTCCAGGAAGCAACTGGGTTAGGCCTTAGCAGGTCTGAGATGAAAATTAAAATTTTGGAGTGAAACAGTGGTATCAGTAGAATCCACCTGTGTGGGCAAAATCACCCATTGAAAATGTATAGGCTAAGACATGATAGAAATTAAGGAGTGAATCAGAGAATGGCATTCAAAAAGCAGGCAGGGCCAGTGAAAAAGAAAGGGAATGAATGACCATGAACCTCAGTTGTCACAGTGAGGCTAAGTATAATAAATTTTGAGAAGTAATCACTGGATTTGGAACTTAAAAGGCCATTAGAAACTTAGCAAGAGCAACTTCATTGAAGCCATTAGAAAGGAAAACAGACGACAGACTTTTGACTGATATAATCACAAACACTATGCTTTCAAATAGTTTGCTGGCAGATAGATGGGAGGATTGGATAATAACTGTAAACTAGAATACAAGACTAAAGGATGGGTAAAAATATAGATCAATGTGTAGGTTGGGGCATGAAGTTGAAAAAATTACCTGTTAAGACTCCATCATCTACTTAGAAAGGAGAAAAGAGAAGGGGAGTGGACAGGGTTTGTAAAGTGAAGGTTTGAAAAGGTCTCTGCAGGAAATGGGCAGGGGGAGGTGGGTTAAAAGGATTGCTGAGTAGTAATACAGAAACAAGGGTACCTAGTAGGGCTCCGTTGCTAAATTCATGGCAATACCCATCTGAGGACAGTAAGCTTGTCATCTTCCAGCCTGTTATCCATAAGTGCTTAAAAGATATGGTAATTAAGTGATTTAACTAGAACCCTCAAACACGTGGGTAAAGTTAAATCACCTGTTGGCTTATTAAAAATGCAAATACCGAGCGTCATTCCTATTCATTTAGAATTTCTGGGGCTGAAACTCAAGCAAGTCAATTCCAGACTCTCTCCAAATGATCCTGAGGGAGAGTTCTATTTAAAAAACAACAACAACAAAACATGGACCTAGAAGGTAATCAACTGTCTAGAAGAGAACTGACCCAACATACACCTATTATTAAATAGCCCTTACACGGGGCATGGGACCGTGCTCTGCCACTTAGGAGATTAAAGACTCCAAGATCTAGGAAGACTCGAATCCAGTGTTGAGAGAGTCACATACACGCCATCCCGTACTCTTGCTGAAGTGCGTTAGTGTGAAGCTGCTAGCGTGAAAAATGCAATGATGAACAATGAAAACATATAAAATGTCCGAAATAATGTATCACCTTAGGTTATTAGACTTGGTGTCTTAGCCCTGTTATATTATTCTAGAGGCTTAGTAGCACCAAAGTGGAATCCAGGGTACTGCAAGAAATAGGGAGAGCTAGGAGATTGCAGGAAAGGCCGGTGGGAAGAGGGAAAGGGATACCGGGGCGAAGGTGAAAGGACCGGGACGCCTCGGAGTGACCATCCGCCCCAAGACTTGGGACGCCCCGTAACCAGGACCCCGGAGCCCTTCTGGCCTCCCCTGGCACTCACCATAGTTTCAGGAGTTCAGCACAAGGAAACTGGTACCGTTGCAACAGGAAGACAGCACCACCAACACCATTATCCTGTTACTTTGGCAACAGGGCCCGCCCACTGCCGAACAGGGCGGGAGACGCACCGCCTCTTCCTCCCAATTGACAGACCCGCCCCTTCACGCTGTCGCCTGGGGCGACGGGACGCTGCATTCCTCCTTGCAGCTCTTCTACTTCCGTTTGGTTGACAGATGACCTGGAAGTTTAAGCGAATACGGAGCTTGAGCTTAAATATTGCTATACAGTATTTTGTTTTAAAATAGGCATCTGTCTACTTTTTCACTTACTAAGGCCTTACATCGTCTGTTCTGTGTTACTTCAGTAACACAGAGTTTAAACGCACTGCAGAGTATGTTTACCTTTCTCGTTTGGAAAAGAATTCCGGAAGCGAAACCCTGAGTAATCGGAAGTGATTAGGAGTGAGAAAGACGCTTGGGCGGGCCGATTTCGGAAGGGAAGAGGAGTGTGGGAAGTTAACGCGGTGATACCGAGCCGAAGAGCCTGTTTAAGTGAAGCCCCTGACACGGGGAGACTGCAAATCTTAAAGGTAAATCCCAGAAGAGGCTTGTGTAAAGAAGAGGGGGTGTTGGAAAAGTACGGAAGTCGAGGGTGGAGCTAGGTGGCCAAGAGTTTTGGATTTGGGTAAAGATTGTTTCCAGGAAGGCTTGTTCAGACAGGAACTTCGGTTTCCATTTACTGGGACAACCAAGCAAAGGTTGACGTGCGTGTAGCTTCCCTGCCTGCCGCTTTCATACCTGGTACCTATTCCCCTCACTCTCCCACCCGGTATTTGCCGGCAGACACTCTCTGGGCTCCTATATTTCGCGAAGCAACTTCCAAGCGCGCTTTCAGTGGTCTTTGCTGTTACGAAGGGTCTTTTGTATACCTGTTTTCAGAGCAATAGATTGGATAAATGAAAGAGGGTTTGTGACTGATAAGGAATGTAGTCATGGGAGACCCTGTGCTTTGTCGCATCGAGTACTGGGAGTGATTTTTTTTTTCTGGTGAAACCAGTTTGTCATCTAATATACAGTTCATCGTATTAAATATTGTTGTGTTAGTATCCCTTTCCTTCTAGTGCTCTCCAGTAAATCTGAGTGTATACTGTGTAAAGCCGTGCATACATTTCTGAAAGCATGTGCCCAATGTATGTTTCTGTTTTTACTGTTAGGGGCTACACCGTTTTAATTTTACTACCAAAAAAGTACAGGTTAAGTTATAGTAATATTTTTGTCGCTTGTTAAACATCTAAACAGAAGTTCCTCTCTAATATATGTGTGTGTGTATATATATATATGTATATATATATATATATATAGAGAGAGAGAGAGAGAGAGAAAACAAATTGTTTCAGCATGTCTCCTAAGAAAATAATTAGTTTAAAATTCTTGTTGTCATATCAATGATACAAAAGCCTCTACAGTAATAACTTCATTGCCATTGCTGAACTTAAATTCAGGACACACCTCTGCATTGGTGAGGATGGTGAAACAGAGTATTTAAAAATAACCCTAATTTTCTTTTGAGACATTTGGTAGACATAATACCACCTGTGAGAAGGGGATATGTGGGACATTTCCCTTCCTAAATGCTTGTGTACTAAATGCAGAAGCAATTAAAATATCCTAACGTTTCAGTTAGAAGCACTCAGCAAATGTGTTTATATGATATTATTTTAATTCTTTTATATGTATACATTTCTAGGTATTTCAGTAGAAGACTTGGAGTGCATTTTTATTGATTAAGGGGGAAAAATGACTACTCTTAAAAGTTTAGAAACCAAAGGTAAGTGTTCTTCTTTTGATGATAATTGTTTTGAGAACATGAAATTTATGATATGAATGTTTGAGCCAGGTAACTAAACCTCATGGATTCCCTGAAAATCATTTGTATTTCAGATTATTTTATACTTATTTTGTAGTGCATTGTTTATATTTCAGTACTTCAGATATACAAGTGAATATTAACATCATTAGTTAATATTAGATGACTACTCTTAAAAATTTAGTGTAAAAACAAAGTTTTACAGCTGTATTCCCTATGCACTAGATTAGGATTTAAATAAACAAGAATATATATTTTTAAAGATTTAAGTAGATGGAAAAACAACTAGCAGGTATCAAAGACCTCCTTCATGTTGTATTAGTTTGCTAAGGTTGCTGTAACAAAATACCACAAACTTCATTGTCTCACAGTTCTGGAGGCTAGAAGTCCAAGATCAAAATGTCAGTAAGGCCATGCCCCCTCTGAAAGCATTAGGGAAAGATCTGGTCCTGGCCTTTCTGCTAGCCTCTGGTGATTTGCTGGCAATCTTTGGTGCCCCTTGGCATGTAGACTTACCACCGTGATCTTTGCCTTCCTGTTCACATGGTATTCTTCCAGTGGGCATGTTTCTTTGACCAAATTTCCCATTTTTATAAGATAGCAGTCATTGGATAAGGAACCCACCATACTCTTGTATAATTTCATCTCAACTAATTACATCTGCAGTGAATCCTAGTTCCAAATAAGGTCTCATTCTGAGGTACTAGGGGTTAGAACTTCAACATATAAATATTTGGAGGGATACAGTTCAAACCATAACACTTGCTAAATACAATAGACACTTTTTAGTCCTGCCTTGCTTGCCTCTCTGTAATATTTAATACTGTTGATCATTCTCTACCTTCTGAAATACTTTCTTTCCATGACTTCCATGACATCACTTTTATTTTCATCCTACTCTGTGGCCCTTCACTGTCCAGTACATAGTCACATATGGCTATTTGAATTAAAATTTTTAAAAAATTAAAAATTCAGTTCCTCAGTCACACTAGCCACACTTCAAATACTCAATAGCCAAATGTGGCTAGTGGCTATTATATTTCTATCATTGCAGAAAACTCTGTTGGACAACACTGCTCTAGTTATATCTTCTGTGTTCCTTCTTAAGCCTTCTTTCCTTCTGGTTTATCTTTTAAATATCAATGTTTTTTCAGCCCTCTTTCTCTTCTCAGGTCTTTGGTAATTATCTATAGGAATAATTTCAAATCTATCTAGAGCCTTGGTCTCTTCCCTTATGATTCAGACTATTATAACCTAATGTCGACTGGCCATCTTCCTTTAGTTATAGGCAACAGTTTTAACATGTCCCAAAATGAACTTCTCCTGACCCAGCTTATTCTTTGGGTGTAGTGAGCTCTGCAGGCTGGGACCATCAGTGAGAGATGGGAAACTATTTTCTGGAAGCAAGCTAGCAGACCTCCACCAGCAAACTTAACTTTAGAGTAGGGTTTAAAACAGGGAAGAAAGAGAATGCCAATAAATATTTAATTGAATTTAATTCAGCTGTGTCCAGCAGCATTCCATAAGTCCCCAGAAGATTTTTATAGTATTGGAATAAGCAAATCAGAGATTGTAATGAAAGTAATAAACTGGGAATTTATGGGAAATAAGAGCAATTAAATGATATATGAAAGCAACTAGCATGGTGCTTGGCAAAAAGTAAAAACTAAATATAATATTATGATTAGTGATTAAAAGTTATTTTAAGTCCTCTGTGAAATTAAATTCTTTTTTATTATTTGTTGTTTGTAATGAGGTTAGAGTTATAAAGCACTTTTACAAACATTTCATGTATTATTAATTATCCAGTAAGGAAGATAATCCAACTATTAGCCTTATTCCTACTTAATATGCTATCTACTGTTAGTGAACAAAAGTTGCTTTTATTGCATGGCCTAAGAAAAGATGTACTTATCATGGTTGACATTTGTCAGTTGTACTTCCTATAACTGCCTCAGGAGAAAACCGCAATTGTTTATTTTAGTGATAGAACTTCCTCTCAGTGGAAGTTTGAGCAATACTGTCATCAAAAGAGGGGATGTATCATTGCTGCTAGGCCTGTTTCTGAAGGGAAAACATAAAATAAATAGTAATAATTAGAAAATTAAAATCCAAAACTTTTTGCGGGTATAAGATTAAAATTAAAGCTATTAAAATCAGACAGTTTAGTAAAATAGACCAAATAGGAAGGTCTGAGGCATTTAAATATTTATAATTCCAAAAAATAGTCTCACTGTAATACTAGTTCTGTAGAATAAGTATTAAGGATTTCAGGAGCAGATAAATTTGGGAAATCCTGGATTAAAGGAGGAGTTAGTCTGGGTGGGGTGGCTCACACCTGTAATCCTAGCATTCTGGGAGGCAGTGGAAGGATCGCTTGAGCTTAGGGGTTTGAGACCAGCCTGAGCAAGAGCGAGACTCTGTCTTTACTAAAAATAGAAAAATTAGCTGGGCATGGTGGCACATGCCTATAGTCCCAGCTACTCAGGAGGCTAAGGCAGATGGATCGCTTGAGCCCAAGAGTTTCAGGTTGCTGTGAGCTAGAACTAGGCTGATGCCACTGCACTCTAGCCTGGGCAACAGAGTGAGACTCTTGTCTCAAAAAAACACACACAAAAAAAACCTCAACAAGTTATACTACAGAACTTCTCAGAGCCTTTAATATATTAATGTACACTCTGAAGCTCCAAAGAGGTGTAGTATGCAGCATTACCCACATTTATTTGAATGTGGGAACTCTTTATCCATAGAGCCTGTGGCAAGAAGAATGTGTATTTCACTTCAGTAAAGGTCGATCTAACACTTAAGGCCATTGTCTGTAACATATTTTTGTAATTTAATAACTAAACTTTATTAAGTGATATTGAAGACATTTAAAAGTATCAATTTAAAATTAAGAAACGATGATCCCTAATTTGTTTAATTGTATTATAGCTGAATTTGCATAGGTTCTGAACAGTCTTTCCAGCTATAACCAAGTTAGGAATTAATGATTTAGTGTAGTGGAAGAAAAATTAAGCAGTTTTTAAATGAGTTAGTTATTGGATATTAATGTGAAATTTTCTAGGTAGTCTATTAACAGATTAATGAGCTTCATTTAGCATTTATTCATTTTCTGTGCCAAGGACCATTGCATTAGCTGATGATGCAAGATTAGGAAGCAATCCCTACACTGAGGGGCTCCCAACAGTCTAGTCTGCAAAAGAAACAAATTATTTTCAAAATACACACTATAGTATTTGTATTTGTATTATTCTGAAAGCACCAAGGTATAGGAGAAGGGTGAGGTTAAGTTATTTGTCTAAGATAGTAGATATTTAAGTTATTTT